GTTTTGGACAACATGGATGAATCTCTGCAAATGTTAAAGGACTCTAGGGCTGCCTTGCATTTTATTGGTATCTATATACACACACCTACAAAAGGAAGCTCAGCAAGTCCCAGATGGCTCTGAGAGCCTACTCTGCTCAATTTCATATCTCCCAGGAGCCATGTGAACTGCATCAAAAGAGACCCAGATTCCAGAGAAGGAAATCGTCCACTTCTCAGCCTTGCATCCTTCCACCTCCAAGCAGCAATTTTGATGGGCTAGTCGAGGGCCCAAATTACCGTCATCCTCATCTGCACCAATCCACCTGCCTTCTTCCCTTTGGCAATAGCCGTTACCACTTCTGGCAGGCTTGGGAGACAATCACTGTAGATAAGTGGGTTTTGGAGATCATCTCCACAGGTTACACCATCTGCTTTACTATGTTTCCACCTACAAATCCCCCTTCCCTGTCCCTCTTTAGGGACCCCTCTCACAAGACCTTGCTTCATCAAGAAATAGACTCTTATGCATGAAAGCTATAGAACCAGTCCCCCCACAGCACAGAGGATGGGGTTTATTCAGGGTATTTCCTGATACCAAAAAAGAGTGGAGTTAGGAGACCCAGCCTAGATTTGAGGCTACTCAACACCTATGTGAAGACACAAAAATTCAAAATGGTGACTCTTGCAGCGATAATAGAGCAAGGGGGTTGGTTCTTAGCCCTCAATCTTCAAGATGCATATTTCCATATTGTGATCCTTCTTATCCCACAAACAATATCTATGTTTCACTGTTGATCAGGGCCACTTTCAATACCAAGTGCTCCCCTTTGGCCTGTCATCTGCTCTGAGGATCTTTAGAAAGTCATGTCAGTAGTAGCAGCACAGCACAGCTCAACAGGAAAGATAGTATTCCCTTACCTGGACAATTGGCTGCTGAAAGGCCGCTCCTTGAAACTGACGCCTCGGGCAACTTCTGGGGCCACAGATTTCTTCCTCGAATTGGCCTTCAATTAAACTTTCAAAAATCCACTCTGACCCCTGTGCAAAACTTAGGGTAAATAAGGGCACATCTTGATTCAGTAACAGCAAGAGCCTACCTTCCTCTGCACAGATTTGTGGCTCTTTCTAGCATAGCCAACACAATTCAGCTCAGTCCCCAAACTCTGATAAAGAACTGTCTTCAGCTGCTGGGGCACATGGCAGCCAGCACCTTCATCATAGAACATGCAAGACTCCGAATGTGCTGCCTTCCAGTGTGGCTCAGAACTGTTTATTCACCAGACACAGTTTAAATATGCTTTTTTGCATACCCACCTGCATAAAACAATCCCTCAGCTGATGGAAAGACTATCACAACGTGTGTGCAAAAGTCCCATTCGTGTATCCTCCCCCAACAGTCATCATAGAACTGGAAGGGACCTCAAGAGCAGTGGCGTAGCCAGGTGGAGAAAACGGGGAGTGGAGATAAAAAAAGAAAAAAAGGCGCCATCAGCTAGTACTCACCCGGCGGTGCTCCAGGTCTTCAGTAGCACTTCACTCGCTCCGCTCTTCGGCAGCATTGCAGTGGCGGGGGTGTGTGTCCTTCAGTGCTGCCGAAGACCGGAGCAAGTGACGGTCCCGATGCCAAAGTGCTGCTGAAGACCTGGAGCGCCACCTGACCCGCCGCTGGAGTCGTCAAAGAATTAAAAAGGCACCTCTTCTGTTCGGTGGGGGAGGGGCCACTGCCCCGCTCCCTCCCAGCTACGCTACTGTTCAAGAGGTCATCTAGTCCAGTCCCCTGCACTCCTGGCAGGGCTAATTATCTAGACCAATCCTGACAGATGTTTGTCTAACCTGCTCTTAAAAAATCTCCGATGATGGAGATTCCACAACCTCCCTAGGCAATTTATTCCAGTGCTTAATCACCTGGACAGTTAGGAAGTTTTTCCTAATGTCCAACCTAAACCTCTCTTGCTGCAATTTAGGCCCATTGCTTCTTATCCTATCCTCAGAGATTAAGAAAAATTATTTTTCTCCCTGCTCCTTGTAACAGCCTTTTACATACTTGAAAACTGTGATCATGTCCCCTCTGTCTTCTCCAGACTAACCCAATTTTTTCAATCTTCCTTTCTAGGTCATGTTTTCTAGACATGTTTTCATTTTTGTTACTCTTCTCTGGACTCTCTCCAATTTGTCCACATCCTTGCTGAAATGTGGCACCCAGAGCTGGACACACTACTCCAGCTGAGGCCTAATCAGTGCAGAGTGGAAGAATTACTTCTCGTGTCTTGCTTACAGATATTTACCAGTAAAATCTAATCCTCCCAAGCCTAACTATTTGCCTCCTTGATTTTCCTGAAAATAAGCCACACTTGCTTTCATTGATTTTTAAAATGATGCCTAAGTCCACTGATATAACAACTGCATCTCTTTCACTTAGTCGATAACTTAGGTTTGCTAGCCATAATTTTTAATCTGAATAAAGTGGGGGTCAGGAGAGGGTGTTTAGTGGTGGTGTATTTGTGTTGGTTCCAGGATATTAGAGAGATATGGTGGGCGAGGTAATATTTTTTATTGGACCAACTTCTGTTGGTGAGAGAGACAAGCTTTCGCGCTACACAGAACCCTTCAGCTAAATAGAAGGTCGAACAGATTAGCATAAGTAGTTAGCACATATTCTAAGGGACTATTCAAGGTGAAGTGGCCTGTTAATATCACTGTAGTCATACAACAGTAAGGGGGGGGCTAGTGGGTTAGGGATTGTTATAATAAGCCATGGGCATTCATGAATTAGTTGAGCACCTGTCCATCCCCGGAGACAAAATCTGATAGCTTTTAGGATGAAGCAGTACAGTGATCCTACTGAAATTTCCTCCAAATCTAAGCACATTGTTTTTTTCTCATTTTAGTCACCCCATTTCTTAGAAGATTAGGATAATTATAGACCTGTCATTCTGACATCGATCCCAAGCAAGATAATGGAGCAGCTGATACGGGACTCGATTAATAAAGAATTAAAGGAGGATAATATAATTAATGTCAATCAACATGGGTTTATGGAAAATAGATCCTTTGAGACTAACTTCATATCTTTTTTTATGACATAAGTTTGATTGATAAAGGTAATAGTATTGATGTAATATACTTAGACTTCTGTAAGACATTTGACTTGGTACCGCACCACATTTTGATGAAAAAAACCCTAAAAAGGTATAAAATCTACATGGTGTAGTTTAAATACATTAAAACTGGCTAGCTGATAGGTCTCAAAATGTAATTGTAAATAGGAATCACATCAAGTGAGTGTTTCTCAGAGTCCCACAAGGATCGACTCTTGGCCTTACGCTATTCAATATTTTTATCAATTACCTGGAAGAAAACATAAAAGCATGACTGATAAAGTTTGCAGATGACACACAGATTGGAGTGGTAAATAAGGAAGAGGACAGGTCACTGATACAGAGTGATCTGGATCACTCAGTAAGCTGGGCTCAAGAAAACAATACGTATTTGAATAATCTAAATGTAAATGTATACATTTAGGAACAAAGAATGTAGGCCATATTTACAAGATGGGGGACTCCGTCTTGGGAAGCAGGGATTCTGAGAAATATTTGGTGGTCATGGTGGATAATAAGGTAAACATGAGCTCCTAGTGTGATGCTGTTGCCAAAAAGGGCTAATGTAATCCTTGGATGTATAAACGGGAATCTTGAGTAAGAGTAGAGAGGTTATTTGAAGCTAGTTAAAGTCAGACTGGAAATAAGGTGTACATTTTAAACGGTGAGAGTACTTAACCATTAGAACAATGTAGCAAGAGTCCTAGTGGATTCTCCATCACTGGCAATTTTTAAATCAAGACTGGATTTTTAGTAAAAGATATGCACTAGGAATTTGTGAAAAATCTATGACCCATGTTATACAGGAGGGCAGATTAGATGATCACAGTGGTTCTTTCTGGCCTTGGAATCTATGTATTGTGTCATCTGCTACAGAACATGGGTGCAGTTCTATAAACTGGAAATATCCCTTGCCATAGTCACCAGTAGTCGAGGAGGATGTTGTAGTGGATGGTAATGATACCAACAATGTACCAAAACAGTTGTCTCCAATACTTATTCTAGTGCCTTCACTTAACATGGAGGAATGATTCCTGAAACCACGGTATAGCTGTTCTTTAGCAGAAGAGAAAATCTTTGACAATATCTTGGAAAAAAGTTTCCAATACTTTTCATTTCTCTCAACCAGATGTGCCAGCATTAGCTTTTGGGCTTTCCCTTCTTCCAGGCCTTCTGGGGGGAAGGGGGAGGGGGGAGAGTGCAAAGAGGCAATCAGTTCTAAATTATTTTAAAGTGGATAAAAGATCATAGAACAAGAGCAATCTAGCGTAACAAGACCTCTGCACAAACATTCATCAGGACACTGGTATATAGTTATCAGAAGGACTATGTCCCCATGTTCTAATGCAGATGTGGCACTAGCATTTCCCTGTTGCCTTCTCCGTTCACCCTTCACTTTCTTGAAAAGAATGCTTTTTTACCTTAAATGCATTTAAACATGAAGCGCTTTGAGATCTATTGATGAAAAAGAAGTAGGTATTATGTGTTACTACCACTGTGACCCTTGTTTTTCGCAGAAGTCTGAACTTCAAAATTGCCATGAGCAGCAAGCTATTAGGTAGAGGGTACTTGCAAAACTGAACTGTGAGCTTAACCCTGGGCACATACAGTTACAGAGCATCCTCTTATGAAACCATTGTCAGCACTGATAGAGCAGGGTGATCAAGATGATAGGCATTAAGGGGGCTATGAAATTGCTCATGTTTAGCTGGCTCATAGTATATATTAATTGCTGGGAGTGACAGTGCTGCTTTCATTTCTGGGGAGACGCAAACCTTTGTTGTTATTGGAGGACGTTTCATAGAATTAAGAGTTAGAAGTCCAGAGTAGCAGGAGACTTCAGCAAGAATTAATTTAAAATTTCTTAATATTTCTTTTTGAGTCCTGTTCAACAGTTTTGTAATTTCTTCTGCCTCTTCAGGCACACAGACAAATGGCCTGGACTTTCAGAAGCAGCCTGTGCCCGTTGGAGGGGCAATCTCTACAGCCCAGGCTCAGGCCTTCCTTGGACACCTTCATCAGGTAAAACCAAGACACATTCTAAACTGGAGGTGGTTTGGGAAAGAAATGGATGGGGAAAGATTCTTTTTTTTCTGTACAGTTGGCAGCTGAACCTGAGTAGTGCAGGGGAGCACTGTCATCCTGAGTAGGATGTGAGATATTTTTTTTTCTGTCTGCTAAATGTTGGAGGCTAGTCATGAATTATTGTACTGATCTGTAGCCCACATATCAAATACTCTGAGAATTATTATTGGAAAATAGCTCTTTGGGGAACTTTTAGATAACAGATGCCACCACAGAGCCATATTACAGATGAGAGTACCTATAATTAAAACACCATATGCCTTTCATAGTTCTTTCAAAAATCTGATGAAGGGCGTAGGAAATGAATACTCTGGAACTGAACAGGCCACTTGGATTTAATGTTTACTCCCTTTGGGAACGTGTCCATTAGAATCACAGGTGTCCAAAGACAAGGCCAGACTTGGTTTCTTCTCTTAAGAATATTTGCCCAGTAACTGTCCCAACTTGGACCTGGAACTTGTCAATGTCTAGTCAAAGAAAGGAGAAGTGGTAGTGAGGGCTACCAGTACAGAGTTCAAATCCTCCTGTAGCTTTCCATGCTCAAGGAAAGCTTAAAATGATGGAACTAGACAAGCATATGTTTCTACAAATTTCTGAGTGATTTTTAGGAAGATTTATTTCATGGAGTTGTTTTCCTTAAGATATTCAGGCTTCTATTTCCCTTTATTGCTTCTCTACAGCCTCTATTCTTATGGAGTCAAAGCTATACTTCAGAGGTAGGGTGTCTGATCACACTTAGGGTTTGAGAACAAATGTCTTTCTCTTCCCTGGCACCAAGTTTAAACTTAAAATTACTGGAGCTAATTGGCTGACCCCGTGTGTTCAGGGTCTGGGGTTACACAATTGTTATGGTATAATTGAGGTACTCAGGCTTTTATGTTCACTTTTAAGAGCGCAGAGCTGCCATTTTATTGTATTGAGCATTCAGTACTTTTTTTGTCACAAAATAATAATTTTCCAGAGGATAGAGGTTTACCTAAGACCTGTGGAATAACAGTGTGAATGTTTGAGTATATTGAACCAATAGGCTGTTTGAGAATGCCTTTCTTGCACACTTCGCTCTCAGCACCCTGAATGTGCGTGTCAGTAATGTGTGCAAATTCAGGAGCTCTGAAGGTCTTTTGTGTTTCCAGTACAGCTTGTTTTAATGTTCATTTGTCAGGTGAACTTGTCTGAAATCAATAACTTTTATCAGTACAGTATTTTGTCACCTTGCCCTGAAAATTATTTTTAAAAAGTTGCTAGGACCATAACTTTTTTTGTGATGATGATGTATGCTGCATTTCTTGAATCTCTAGTTTCAAGAAATCTCCAAGCCTTCTTTTGATGCATCTGGCAATGGCCAGTGGCAGACTGGCTGCCACCTTAGATACGAACTATTAGTATCTTCCAGTTTAGGAATTCTTAGTGGTGACAGCTGTGATTATTCTCAAGATGGAGTTCTTTACACCTGACCAATGCCAAATACAATACAAGGTGCCATTCAGAAACAGTCTTATAAAATACTCTAATAGGAAAGTGTGTACATAGGAGGGTGGGGGTGGGGCGGAGAGAGAGAACAACAGGATCTATGTTCAGGTGTGTGCTGGCTGCACTTAGGTCTCTTAAGTTTGTAAGGTCAACGTTTAGTGCAGAGAAAGGTAAAAATAATTCTATCCAGGCTATTTCACTAGGACAGCAGTTTATAATTATGCTGTTTGGGCTATTTTATGTTGTTGAAATCTCAGAACACAACAGGCAAGGTAAATTAAACTTAACTGCAACAATTTGAGGGTGAGGGGCTTTTCTAGAGAGAAATTTTGTTTGGCGACAGAGGAAATGTAGAAAATCTTGTAGAATGCCACCCAGGAAGGCAGGAAACATTTCAAGAGATGGCTCTGCAAGGTCAGAGCTGCCTCAGCATGGAATTTTTGTACCTGGATCTGAACTAAAGCTCCCCAACCCACATAGAGCCAACAGGAAAGCAAGTAAAGTTAAATATGTTATTGTTCTCATGCAACACATCTCAGTGTAGGGATGTCTTCCTTTTCTTAAAGGACAGCATACCACATTTGATTATTTGTTTTTCTTGTACTCATTGTGTTTCCTGGTTCCCACTAGAGCAGTGGATTTCAAGCATGGTCAGTGACGAAATATTCTACAGGCTATAATCCTGCCCTTTGGAAGAATTGGCAATTACGTAACATTCTTCCTTCGTAGTAGGAATGATGCTGATGATGGTAACATGAAGAGGGTTGTTGAAGCTGACTACAGTGTATGAACATATAACTTATGTGGTAACAGGAGAGAGAATCTTTTTCCTGTTCATAATATTTTTGTCTCTATCTTGCTCTTAAAAATCCCAAGTTCTGGAATGTTGCTTTCATTTCAATTTCCTGCCCCCCGCCTCTCCCCAAATGCTTTCTTGGGAGTATTGGACCAGGTAATCAATCTCAAAAATTGAATTTGAATTTGAGTACACTTCAGTCAATGCTGCCCTTGTTAAGGGTATCCCGTCCTCTGTATGTAATTTCTTTTTGCAGTGTTTAGGGACAGTGAGAGTGCTTGGGTGGTGGATTGATGTGTGAGAACAGTTTTTATGGGTATATGAGGTTCCAGCTGCATGTGTAAATTCCCATTGTGTGATGTAAGGAACGTGGTGAATGCAGCATGCATATTTGTGGTAATGTCTGTTCTGAAGTTAGGAAAATGATTAATAGGGTTTTTGTTTTAAAAACTTAGGCAATTTCTGCATAAAAATTGTATTTCCCAAAGAAGACTCATCCACCCCAAAATGGTCCATTCATAGTCAGATTCACATCAACGCCCAGAGATCCTAAACTGACAGAATCTTTTCTCAGTAACAGGTGGACAGATAACACTGTGCAAGGTCCATATGGACTTGTCTAATATTTCTTAGCACTACCCCTACTTTCAGCTACTGCAGAATGCTTTAGGGGGTCTGTGTTTTATCTTTCAAAGCTTTATATGACTGTTACTTCACTTCATCTCAGTTCTTTGCACTGTGTTGTAGGTCCAGCTCGCTGGAACAAGTTTACAGGCTGCTGCTCAGTCCTTAAATGTACAGGTAAGGACTGCCCCTTCTCCCATTCTCCGTCAAGTATCTGTTTTTTTAAAGATAGTTTTCAGGCTGCAAGCTGTCCCATTCTAATTGTTTGTTTGGGTTTGTAAAATAAGAGAGGTTGAGTAGTAATAGTTTCACAGCTGCAGACCAGACTGGGTGATGGTCCGCAATAGGAGCTGGTTAATGCATTGGTACTAATAATTTTGTGTCAGAGGTTAGTGAGCTGTTATAAATATTTCTCATGCTGCATTACGAACTCCAGTAATCTCACATGTTCCTTGATTTCAGCCTTATTTTAATCATAGATTACTTTGCAAACTGTTTTTGGAAGCTGAACATAGGGGGCCGATGTAGCATTGATTTTTAATGTTGCTGGTGTGGATCGCTTGGGTTTCCTACAGCATCAAGTAAATTATACCTAGTAATTTAAAAATAAGCTGGGCTACTTGCTCCTCATTGATCTGCATAGTATAGCAAAGCATTCAAACTTTGTGTGATGCAGAATGCTCCATAGCATTTCAATCAACCTACTGCTTCCTTTCAATACAATATTCAAGCAACATGCCGAAAGGGGAAAGGGATGTAGTTTTATTGAAAACTGGTTTCAATATTGCAATATACTAAAGAACTGGGATAGTGCATTCCATGAAGCCAAATAGAACATGGACCCAGTTACATGTGGTGCTGCTTTAGAAAGAAGGGGAGATACAGTGATGTTCCTTTTTAAGAGAAAGGAGGCAGAAAATTGCCTTGGTTGCCATGGTAAACTTCCATCCCTGAGAGAGATGTTGGCAAACAGGCTGTATCACTAGTGCAGAATGTTTACAGTCCTATGCTGTGATTATCTCTCAGTGACTGGCAGAATTAATCAGAGGCTTTATGTTAATTAGCCTGCTCTGCAGTCCCCAAAACAGGTGGTGGAAAATATGCAAATCTATGCAGAATTTTAATGCTCTGCATAACCAGTTTTAATTACCATAAAACCCTCTCTTTCCTCTTCAGACACTTTCTTGCATTTCCTTCCTCATGGCTGCCGTATTCTCTTCTCCATTTAAAAAAAAAAAAAAAAAAAAAGATTTTAAGTAAAACACACTGCACAGCTATATAAATGCTAAATTTTTTATTTTAAGACAATTTGTGTTTGGCTTCTTACTAGATTTAGTGAAGCATCTGAGGGCATTTCAAACCAGTCCCCTGTTTAGCTAGCATTCTGTTGACTTAATGTTCTTAATGCAGATGTTTGAAAAACATATACTCCCTTCACTCCATTGTTCTGGATTTTAGTCCGTGAATAATTTTAAGTGCTTTGTGGTGGGCAAATACTTTTTACCACAAAGAAAAAATAACGTCAACTTCAATGATGCTGCGGCAAACAAAGTGATATCTGAAAATATTTCAGGTACAAAAGAACTGGGTGTTTTGTTTTCTTTTAACCCTAAACTGTGTTAGCTACACATGTTGGAGCAGTCATAGTTGAGATGGTGGGCAGAAAGAGAGCCATTTCTTAAACCCACTCTTAAAATGAACCCAAGGGTTTTTTGTATGCGGATGAAAGATTTTGATGTACAGTGTAGAGATAGTAGTGTATACATTAACATCTGTTTTACACTATAAAGAGTTATATTTTTTTCCTAGTCTAAATCTAATGAAGAATCTGGGGACACCCAGCAGCCAAGCCAGCCTTCCCAGCAGCCTTCAGTGCAGGCGGCCATACCCCAGACCCAGCTCATGCTGGCCGGAGGACAGATCACCGGGGTAAGGTTTACTCAAGAGAATTGTAGTAAGCCTCCTGTCTGGCAGTACTGCCATAATTTGCCATCCGATTAGAGTCACCCACCAAACAGATAGTAGAGTGGCTGTCCAAGGTTACTGTCATTTCATTAAAGAGGAACTTTCATACAGGTGGCGAGGGGAGCAAGAACATTTTTATATAAAAAGCAGTCTGCTTGTCAGTAGTTCTTAGTGCCTGATGTTTTTTGGAGAAATTTGTATTACAATATTGGAATTTCTTGGTTCCTGTTATTTTCTCCTACTTGACCCTGCAATGAAATCAAAACTCTAGGTTTGACATTAGCCTGTTGTAGAAGTCATGGATATCAGAAAATCAATGTTTTTACTTCAGTGCAGGACCATACAGAAGCATAAGAGGGAAACACCATGTCAAAATTTTGGTACATGTGTAGCAAAAGTGATGGGAACTTTATTACAGTTTATATCCCCTAACTTTTTTAATATTTTGCAATGGGCATAAAGTTTGTGTTCTCTGAGCAACTCGATCTTTAGATATCATCAACCTTTTTGCTTATGCTTCCCAGAATTCAGCCCCTCCATTTTACCTGTCAGTCTTGAATTTTCTAGAGTTTTTTGTTTGTTTTAAATAATAAAGTTTTGGGGGTGTGGCAGTTTGGTGTTTGTTTTTTTAAAAGGGTAGTTGTGCTTGTGAAATTGTTGCAACTCCCAGAAGTGTTTAAAATTAATTAGAAAAACAAACTTGAGAGTGGATTGGTTTGGTTGGAGAGGTTATTTCCATTTCATCAGCTCTTCAGATTGAGGTTTTTGCCCAAGAATGGGGAATTAGGAGGTTATTCCATCAATGCATTGGGTCTATGATTTAAATTGTTGGGTGATGTCACCTGCAAACTTGAATGGTGCCATGTCTAATTCAGTCCCGTTTGCTGTGGAATCCTCAAAATAGAATAGCTGTGTAAATTATCCAGGCCCACATTTAATTGGTTTTGTTTAATTTAATTTGTATTTTACTATTTTAAAGTACATTTGCTTTCAACAACAACAAAAATTATGTGGTGGAAGAAAGTTATTAAAACCTATTCTAAATAAATCATTTTTGTTTTGTCTGATGAATGTCTGTAGTACTGCGGCATTCCAGACTCCAGGTTTGTGTGGATGGGGATTGTATTAAATGTGGACATCAGAATTCATTTCCGTGTAAAGGAGAGGCTAGCCACCTGTTTCATAGAGATAATGTGTGTTTCGAAGATGAAGGGATGTAAACTTGCCAACTCTATTCTGTTAATAATAATAATAATAATAATAAAACAAAAAGGCAGATGGGAGGAGAGACTTGGAGTGAAACAAATGGAGCTCATGTTCTTCACTTATATCTTAGGGCATAATGGAAATGATGGAATATGGCAGGGATTCATGCTAATGTGAAGCAGCTGGGGTGTTATCAGTTCATTCAATAGCCACAGCCAGTACTCCTGCTTTTCTTTCATCTGGCTAATCACTTGCTGTTCTGTTCGGTGTACATTTCCTTTCAAATCCTGTCAGGGCTGATTCTTTTTGCATGCTAGTTAATTACCTTTTTGCATGAACCTTGTATTAGAACTGTGGAGAAACTTACATGATTCTTCAGGTTCTGATTGCAGCATAACACTTAAAGTTTCAATGCTTCTACCAAAATTGTGTTGTAGGTTGATTGCTATGTTATGTTGAGTAGCCAGCTGCGTTACATAAGGTGTTCAGGTTAGCCAATGTCTGTTACCTGATTAAGAGCTGGTAGTTTGTAATTGGGAACAATTCTTTCTGCTGTTAATGACTCTTTGTTCTAATTGTTTCTAGCTCACGTTGACGCCAGCCCAGCAGCAGTTATTATTACAACAGGCACAGGCGCAGTTGCTGGCGGCTGCAGTGCAGCATTCAGCCAGTCAGCAGCACAGCGCTGCAGGTGCCACCATCTCGGCCTCCGCTGCGACGCCGATGACGCAGATTCCTCTTTCTCAGCCAATACAGATTGCACAGGTGAGCACTGGGGCTTGTGTGGGTTGAGGGAAGGAGATTTAACCTGAAAAAACACATCCACTTGTTCTTCAAGTGGCTTCTGTATATTTTCACTTGGGGGATCAAAGGCACCTGTGCCGTAGGCTTCCAGTACCTTCTGTTGAGCAGTGTCCGCTGGGATCACTCATTCCTCCCTTTTCCTCACCCCTTCATGGAGGACTTCAGGGCATCTAAAAAGCTGTGTCCCCAACTACCCCTCAGTTCTGTTTCACTGCTTATGGTGCCACAAACTTTTGTCACATACCTTGTCCTCAACACTTCCCTCATTTTTCACTTTCTTCCTTTTGGGGCCTATTTTTGTTTGTAGTTAGTTATCTTTTCTTAAAAAAGGTGTTATACCAATAAAATAAAAACCAGCAAGATCTTATTAAAGGGAAAAAGGCAAAATACCACATTTATTGTGAATACAGAAAGAATCATAGAAGCAGTTAGTTATAGCTATAACATTCCATTCAATCTCATATTTATTCTCACATTCATTCCTACAAACACACACACAGGTTCTGTAAGGTTGTTATCATGGTTACCAGCGTTAGAGTTGCTCATGCCAAGCACTGTCCAGGTGGCCTGGACATGAGGAGGGAGCAGGGCCTTGTCAGATGCTCATCTGATGCTCCTGGAAGTTGGTTTGCAGAATCAGACCCCGAAGTTCTCACTTTCTCGAGTCCATTTTTATAGGAGTTTTTCCTATGCCAGTCTGTGGGAATTGCTTCGTCATGCTGTTGCTGAATCAATCAGCAGATAGCACATTCCTGACAGCTCTGTGCTGCTAGATGTTATCTTGTTCTTTGGTTCTCCCATTCTTGAGGCTGTTGGGTGGATTCCAGTCTGCCCTCCAGGGGTCCTCTGGTTATTTCCACTTGACGCCTTCTTCAGCCGATGGACACTGGATTCTTAGGCTGGCACCTCCCTGATCATTCAGTTATTATCCACACCAAGCATCCATCCACATACATCCTCTATCTCTATTTTAATCACAATTGTTAATACAACAAAAGGGCGGGGAGTCTCTGGGTGCTGTTTCTGTTGTTAGAGTATTGCTTTGAGTCTCTCTCTGTGTGAATTGCTTTGAGAACAGACTCTGTCTTAGAATGTACTAACGCAATTAGCAGCTTGCAAGTTTCACACGTAGAGGGAGAGAAGCAGTACCAAAAACCAAGAGACCTCTTAATTAGTAATACCCTGGAATTTAAACTATGGGGAATCAAACTCATTTGTGATTTTAATACAGAACTTCTTTAATATGATCCAACAAAGGGCGGCGGGGGGGGTAATGATACCCATATGGAATGGGAATTGTAGGACCAAGAGGAGCAGGAGGGTGGCCTTGTACCCCCACTGACCTGGAAGGCTCTTCATGCGAAGTCAGCTATGTGCTGGACTTAACTTACCACACCGGCTCTGTGCTTCATGCCAGTGTCTCTAAGGTTCCTGGATCCGTCCTGGTGCATCAGGTCCAGCATCAGAGATCCAGCACCCTTTGTCACTGGAGAACTGCTTGCCAAAATGATTCTGGTGCCTGGATCCACCCAGGTTGAAGTCTTGTACTAAGGGTCTGGCACCCTTACTTCTGAAGAACTCCTAGCCAAAGTGAGTATGTGCCTGGCAGGAGTGGCAGTGCAGTCCTTGGATCTGTCCAGGTAGACATAGTCTACTGTGGAGAACCAGGCACCATTGATTCTGTGCTTAACATGTACAGCATGGAGGTCTCTAGATCCCTCCAGACACGAGTAACCAAATGTGGATCACAAGGTTCTCTAATGAAACCTGTTGCTGGCCTCATCTTCAACACGGAGGTCCAGTCTCCTGGAAATAAAAGTTCCTAGCATGCAATATTCTATCTTGATCTGAGTAACCTGTCTGCGTCCTATAGTTTCCACACGCTGTACTGGCTGGTAGCACCACTTATTGTGCAGCTGTTTCTGAGACCAGGTTTAAAATTTTTTGGAGACCTTTTCTTTGAGAATCCGTAGCTCCCTCATGCTTCGGAGCAGGGCTTGAAATTTGGAAGTGGGGTCACAGTTGTGTTTTGTTTTTGTTTGTTTTTCGCTGCCTCTGTGAAAATCTGTCAACATTTGGGCAAGTTATCAGTGTTTTGAAAAATTGCAGTTCTGACATACTCAGTAGACTCTTAGATTTTAGCAGTTCAGTTCCCCAGAGATTCCATCCACACTTGACAAATGCCAACCTGGGGCTGGGCAGGACTTTCCCTACAATTGCAGCTCTGGGCTGCACTAGGCTATCTTGGATCTATAGTCTGGGTCACTGGAACTGAGAGCCCAGAGACTTCTCTCCTATGCTTTCAATCACTCCCTGCTGAAGATGGAGGAGGAAGCTGCCTGATTTGAATGCAGAGAGGGTAAGAGCCAGACCTGTGGGAGGAGTGGAGGGAGTAATTTGGACAAAGCCTGATTGAGGTGGAAGGGGAACATTGGGATTGGAGGCTGGCCAAAGGGTTTCAGGAAGAGAGACTGGGCCTAGGAATCTGGTGTGGAGACCGGGCCTGTCTGCTGCAGGGACTGGGAGTGGTTGGGCATGGAGACTTAAACTTTGAATGAGCAGAGTGGGGGAAAGGAGATCTGCAAAGAGCTGGGGTAAATTGGAACTTTGTAGGCAAAGAGACTGAGACAAGAAGTTTAGGTTGGCAGATGAACAGGACACTAGATAGGATGAGGAGTGTAGTGAGAAAATTGGGGATAGGGAATGTGGGGGAGGTGAGATTGGAGGACAGGTGGTGAAGACAAACAGATCAGGTGAGCCAGGAAGAGCGGGTAGGGGATTGAGACTGAGTAAGGAAACAGGAAAAAGAGCTGGGTGTTGGGTGGGAACTGGGAATGGCTGAGCGAGGAGACTGGGACTAGGAGTCCAGATAGGTCAGACTAAGACTTGATGGGCAAGGAGAATGTGACTGGGATGAAAAACTTGAGTGGATATTGGGACTGGCTAGGTGAGAATAGGTCTGGGATGAAGAGACAGAACAGAGACAGGTTGGAGGGGACTAGATAGAAGAGGTCACACTTGGGAGTAATGGGCAGAAGGGTTTGTGCCAACTGGAGCATGCTCCTCTCCCCACCACAGAATGGGATCCAAGATTCCTGACACTCACCATTCCTCTGCTGTCAGCAGATATCTGTGAAACCCACAAAGTGTCCCATCCTCTTCTAGTACTGGTTCACATAAAGCATGAGAACCTACTACTGCTATCAGTTAAACCATAATCTGAAGTGGCAAAGGTCTGTGCAATGGACCTAAACGTTGCAACCCTGCTGATGACCCATGTGGGTGTCAATATGATGCCACAGGATGGAATTTGTTTTTTAGTGTAAATTCAGAAACTTACATATAAAACTATGTTAAAAGAACATTATTAAGACTGCAAAAATAAGCACTGAGAAATTAGGGATTGCCAGTATTAAGCTTGCCTCTGTGTCATAATCATTATGATCTAGTCTTTAATTACATGATTGCATACCACTTATTCTGCAGGACCCCTGTCTCATTCAATGCCCAGGATAGAACTGCTCTGGGGTTGACTCAAGGTTGCGTAATAAAGGTGTCTGCTGTCTGAAGGACCCCTGCTTCATTTGTTGCAGAAGCTGGAAGGTGGTGGATAGTGAATGAGGGAGGAGGTTGCAGGAAGAGAAAGGACAACAATGTTATGGTTAGAGAAGCTGAATGCTCCCCCTGCAGAACTGAATTCTAAAGTCTATCCTTGCCTCTGCCACAGAGTTCCTATGTGATTCTGGGCAAGTCACTTAAACCAAATTTTTCGCAGATGATCACTAATTGTGTTTCTCATTTGTGGGTGCTGAACTTGCGATCATGGGGGCTGATTTGTAGAAGTGCTGAGTACTTCCATTAACATCAGCTGCAACTCTGAACTGTGCTTTGAACATGTGAACTGCTATATAATGCTAGGTACTCTGAAAAATTAGGTTTTAGGCATCTAAAATTGGGTACCAAAAATTGATGGGTACCTTTTTACCTTAATCTCTTCGTTCCTCAGTTTCCCATCTATAAATGTGAATAAAACCACCACCTCATTTTACAGGGGTGCTATAAAAATTTAAGTTTGTGAAGTGCTTAAATGCTGTAGTGATGAGCACAATACAGTAGCTTCTGTAGAAATTAATTCTGTGTTTAGAGGAGGATTTGAATAGTGTGCAGTAAATAAGACCTTCAGCCACACACTAAGGAGGAAACAAAATATTGAATAGCTGCTCATCAATCAAGCATGGTCCATCTTGTGCACTGAACAAGGCCGCAATCCTATAGAAGAAGTAGTATGTGATTGTGCAAGTAAAGACTGTATCATAACACATATACACAAAGGGACTGAATTTGGGTTGCACAGACAATCTTAATTCTGGCATTTCCTGATTGTTGACTTTACAGTTAGTGTTCTTTTAACATATATTTTTGGTATGTAATTATAAATTTACTGCATTCTATCCTCTTTATGAAATGTAGGTGTGACCCTTGGCTTCCTGGTAAGATGAAAGTGCAACCCTGTGTTGGGCATAGTTGAGAGAGACTGGAAAACTTGTATCCTCTACAGTTGCAGATGGATGAGACCAAGCTCTCCAATCCATCTTGACACTGATCTGTAAACAGCACACAGGTTTGCTTATTTGCATTGCTGTTGTAAACACAGAGCTGATTACCCAAATAGCCGACTGTTTGTTTTAATTGATTCTTGAATAATTGATTAACTGGCAGGTTTCTGCAGCAGGGGGATTACCATATTTATTTTAATTAACTAATTGCACAAGCATGGCTTCTTTAATGTGCTCTTTAGTCAACACAAGCAATCTACTGCGGAGATGTGGGTAAGATTGTTGGTGCTGCTGCTGAACTGATGCAGAAGTACCACTAATAATTGTACCAGGTTTTGAGGTCTCTAGATACTGGACCTTTTTGTTCATCTTCTGTTGAGATCTGTGGTAAACATTTGAATGAAATAAATGTCAAAGAGGGAGAGAAATATTTAGGTTAGTACATGGGTTATAAGTAGGAGTAATGGTATGGAGCTAAAAGAGAACTTTAGATGGAATAGCTTCATCATTCCGTGTAGTCATGGAATAGTCTCCTAAAAGAAGTGCCGGAAGTCTCTTCCGATTTGACAAAATACCATAAATTGTATACTCTGCAAACAATTGTGTTGTCTGGCTGGATAGACCAGATGACCTACTAAGTGTTTTTCCTATCTAATTTTTGTTGTTCTCGTGCTGATGTAATACAAGCTTCTCATAGAGAAAAATGAGATCTGAATAGGAAAACATGATCAATGGTTGTTTACTTAGTCATTAAAGTGAGAATTATTATAGTACTATAATTACCTGAAAAATAAAACATACTTGCCGTAGGAATAGACATAAATGACAGAATCTGAATGAGTCGGAGAAGCACATCTCTTCAGCAAGCTCTTCCAACCAGCATTACCAGCAACATAGCCAGTTCAAAGAAGGCTCAGCCAAGATGTTAGTTACCAAGACGAAGATGGGGAGAATGGTGCTGATTATATCAAGTTTCTGTCTTCTCAGCTAAGATGACTCAAAGCAAGACCATTTCTCACCTATGCTCTCCTAACCCTCTGGTGGTTTGCAAGGGTACTGCCTGTCCTGGATTTATGATAGCTGATTCTTTATGCCGTTCCCATGATGTAGAGCTGCAGCATAGTGGCTCCAATGGTATATGACAAAAGAAACTTGTCAAGTATTATAATAAATAAATCATCACTACTTTGCCATTTGTAGTATTGTTCTATTCTTCTCTCTCTGCTCAAACACAAAGAGTCCTGTGGCACCTTATAGACTAACAGACGTATCGGAGCATAAGCTTTTGTGGGTGAATACCCACTTCGTCGGACTCATGTAGTGGAAATTTCCAGAGGCAGGTATAAATCCCTGGCCTGATTCTTGCTTGCATATTTATACCTGCCTCTGGAAATTTCCACTATGTGCATCTGACAAAGTGAGTATTCACCCACGAAAGCTTGTGCTCCAATATGTCTGTTAGTCTATAAGGTGCCACAGGACTCTGCTACTTTTACAGATCCAGATTAACACGGCTACCTCTCTGATACTTAATACTACAAATGACATACTTCAGTGCAACTTCTGACATTGCGACATTGGCCACTGACATGATTTGTTTGGTGCAGTTTCCAGATTTTGTGCCAATTCAAATGTTACTATGTAAACTGATTTTCAAACCGTTAAATCCAAAAAAACCTGTTTTAGTGCAACTTTAAGTTTGCACAATTAAGCATTCAAAAATGATGAAATGTGGAAATTACTGTTGAAAGGGCAACCTTAACTGTTCCTTCTGGCATTATAATGCAGCCTTAATTACCTGAGTTCATACTATAAAATAGTTCATACATTTTCTATCCAATCCTTAAATTCATGTATTTCTGAGATAAATTTATAAATACTGTAAAGAGTTTAAATGCCAAGGATGGAGAGGAATTATTTAGAGTGAGACCTGGAACTAGCATGATAGATGAGGCTAGAGTGGGAATGAGATTTAAATGTCAACAGGAAAATTTATGCCAGATATCAAAAACTTTCTGGCATAAAGTTTATTAGGCTTTGGAAGCCCCGTTGTTTGGAACTTTTAAAGCTATATTGAAAAAATAGAGTATATGCTGTAGGGAACAATCCTGCACTTGCAGAGGAAGAGATTGCATGACCTAATAGGTCTTATCCAAGATCGTAGCCAGCCAAAAAAAGGTAGGTGACTACTATAGACGCTGTGAGGAGGTGCAAAGAAGAGTCAGTCACAGGCTCCCAAACATCCTAATATATTTTCTCATGAGATGAACATAGAAAATATAATTGGGTCCCATATGCAGTTGCAAAACTAAACTCTGTTAAATCTACATTCCCAGGGTACAGTAGTCTAGTTGAAGGGTGTAGGGCAGCTTGAGAACAAGATGAGCTTGCGTCCTGTCTGATTTATACTTGTGTATGAAAAGTAACTCCACTGACATCTGTAGAGTTACACTGGGGTAAAACTGGTGCAAGTTCAGAATCAGATCTGTAGTTTAAACACCGCTTACTCCCTTCTTCATTGAGACTCAACAGTGTTTTAAGTTAACCATGTCCAACAGGAGCTTCCATATTTTAACTGTCTCGCACTTGCTAGATTTCATAGCATAGGCAAGAAATAAATCCATATGTTTTCCTACCTCTCTGCCTCTTGGATTCAGTGCTGTCTGCCTTGTTCTCTTCCTTCCCACTCTTTCCTTAAATGTAGTGCTCTCCCCACTTCTGAGATCTGTTCTTGGTTCTTCCCCAACTCTCCTGAGGTGGACTACCTGTTCTTTTCTGGTGTTTCCCCTCCTTTGTCCACACCCTCTTCTCTAGATTGTCTCTCCAGCACCCCTTTTTGAGGGTGCCATTTCTCTCTCAGTTCCCAGGATCTCGCATCCTTTGGTCTCTTGATTTCTGTTTCCCCTGGAGTGTCTTTTCCCAAGAGTTTTTGGCTTCCTGCATTGCCCTGTAACTCCTCACCTCCTCCTTCCCCTGCATCTGGTCCTCACACCCAAGTGGTCGTGAGGCGCTCTCCATGGTGGTGGTCTGTTCAGAAGTTGTCTATTCCTTTCTGTAACAGTAACCAATGGAGTACTGGATACTTACCCCGCCATGTGACAAAGGTTTAACCTTATGTTATCCTGACCCATATCATATGTCTGGGTCCAAGAAATAAAGTTGTTTTTTACCAGCACTCCTGGATGTCATAGCCTTATTAAATGAGGACAGAAATAAACTGAATCTCTGGCAAAATTGGAACAAGCAAACTTGACGGAGAACTGGAGGAGATGGTTGCAGTGATTCCAGAATTTCTTGAAAGCAAGTGGTGAAAATGGGATCACAATTTAAATACTGAAGTAAAAGTCTACAGTTGTATAACAGGCATCATTCAGTCAGTGTCAACTAGTGTTTGTCTACCTCACTGGTAAATTGCATACTTGCTGACTTACCAAGAACACGTTGGCCAAATGATGGCTACGGTGTATTTGTAATGTAGACTAAGAACTCGTTTCTATGTGTGCACATGTATATAGCCTTATAAGTACACAGTTGACAAAATATCTGTAAGAACTCTTGTTCCTTCGTCCCCCAAATTGTGGTTGTAATTTGGTATGATTTTGTTGAATTTTTAATTTTAATAATTTTCAATTAATCTTATACACTGGTGTGGGCAAAGGGACAATAAGAAGGCTGGCCAGGAAGTGGGAAGTTGCAGTTTTGGAACATGCGCACTTCCTGAGTTTTGAACACCCACACATAGCATATGTTTTTAAAGTGCATACTTCTCAGTTTAATGATAAAATTTATTTTGCATGCTCAATACTCAATTTTTAAATGTTCTTAAGTTTGTCCAATCAAAACCAAATTGTTTTCAAGCTCAGCAAAAGCACTAATCCTTAAAAGCCAGTCTAGTAATGATGAGATTAATAACAGAAATCATTTAGAAGATCAGCAGTATGCCTCTTGGCTATCTGCATGCCAGGCTTCAACTTTCTAACTTCAGTTGCTTTTAGTGTATCACTGCTGAAATAAAAGAGAAAATGAGGCTAGAATTTTTTAAAAACAGCTATATTGTGTGTTTTCACACTCCAGCTTGAACAGGTTAAGAGATACTCCTCAAATTCCTGTTCAGGCAGAGACTAAGCAGCAAAATCTTCACCCTGCAAAATGAATGAGTAAATGAAAACAGGAATCATAATAGCTGAAAGTGTTTTTCTGGAGCCTTAACTACAGGTATGTCTATCATACCTGCTATAGTAACCTAAGCAATTTTGTTTTAAACTACTCAAATAGATTAGTCCACTTTATGGATTAACTCTGTCCAATATTTAACGATCACAGTGCAAACTAACAAATTCTATTTTTGTTTTCTTTTTGCCTCCCTTTAGCTCAAAAATAGCCATTCCAGATTTCTTAAAATTTGTGTTTTAAAAACTAAACAACCCCCCATGCCCCAAAATACCCCACTAGTTCCCAGGCTAAACCTTTATTTCATCTGTCAGTGATGGTAGATTCTGCAAACCTCAGAAAAGCAGAAGTTTGACAATGGAAATGCTGACAGACCCATAACCTTATATAAATGCTGCTAATTTTTTACTGTGTTGGAAGTCCTTTACTGGGGCATTTAGTAAACTGTGTTGTGTGCAGTTCCACGTATGTCAATGAAGCACTTGTAATGGTTACTCTGTTTGAGAAATGAAAGAATAATCTAAGTTATTCAATAGCAAACATGCTGGTGCTAGATCCCCTTTTATCTCCCAGTGCTAGGAGGAAAAATCCTAGATATTTCAAATGTTTCAGGAGTTGTGACTGATTTGAATGATTAATGCACACCTCTTTATTTCATTAAGGATTTGCAGCACCTGCAGCAGCTCCAACAGCAGAATCTCAACCTGCAACAGTTTGTGTTGGTGCATCCAACAACCAACTTGCAGCCAGCACAGTTTATCATCTCACAAACGCCGCAGGGGCAGCAGGGTGAGTGTGACCTTTCTGGGAGAAATTCAGAGCTGGGTTCAGTAAGAATAGTCACGGGGTCCTTTTTGTGTCTTCCCCCAATGTTGACATTCCTTAATGGAAATAGCAGTGTTGGGTTTAGGGAGAGTGTCATGGCATGAGCCTGGCCCTTTTAAAGAATTTGAAGTTCAGCCTCACCTGTGTTACATGTATCCTGCTTTCCCAGGTGAAAGGAACGAGTCAAGGGGTCACATGATGGGAGTCATGTTACTAAAAGCTGGGCCTGTTGAGGAATATGAAAGCAGCCTGTGTTCAGTCAGAAAGGGTTCAAGGAGAGAGAGTGCCTGATGAGAAGAGGACAGGTGATGACTCCCCAAAGCTCATAGGCAGAAGGCCTAGGAGAGACTGGTAAGGATTGGGGCCTGTTGAGGGATAAGCTGCAGCTGAAACACCCTCAAGGAGCAGGACCCTGCTGGGTGAGAAGCCAAGCTATATGGGTTGCAAAGGACAGCAAACTGGAGGTGAGGCTATAAGGAAGGGGAAGCTTTACTAAAGGACTAGAAAGTATTTTGAGCCTAAAAGGAGGGCTATGTGGATACTGAAGCCCACTGTAGATTGAAAGAACTGATTGATCCTGAGGAAGAGGGCTGGAAGTTTGAGTGTTTTATGCTTATAAACCAAATCAAAAGCAGAGGTGTTTTGTGAAAACATCAGATGCAGTTTTTGTTTGCAAGACAGAAGGTAAACTGAGATAGTGGTAGAGCCTGAAGCCAGACTAGGTAAGCCCTGCTACATGGACACTGTTCAGAGAACATACGGCACAAAATTTGAGTTACCTTAGAACTTCTAAAATTTGGTTCAAGGGAGCCTCAGAATCCAAATAATCTTTCTTTTAAGAGGAAAATATCCACAAAACCACTGCTTTTAGAGATTTTTTTTTAAAATGTCACTGTTTATATAGGCCTACACTTTTCATGTGGCTTTTGATGCCTTCATAATAGCAATGAATAAATCTCTTTAAATGGTTCACAAACAAGGAATCTAATCAAATGTTATGTTGACTTCTAGAATTATGGGAAGAGTTTGAAATGCATTGTTTGCCACATGTTTCTGGAACTTCCATCAGAAAGTAATTTGTATTGTCTTTTCAAGAAAATCAAAATAAGTTTCTTCACAAGCCACCCCTCTTCAGTTAAGGTTCTGTTTATCTGTGACCCTGTAAATAAACACACACACATTTAAGTATTGACCTGCAGCCTAGACTGCAGAACTGCTTCAGAAACACAGGATTTACATTCTCTCTTTAGCTCTTCAGCCATTAGAGTGTGACATAGTTAATAACTGAAATACTTGAACATGTTTACCACTGACTGCTCATGGGAATAAATTAAAGTAACATGCATGCCATAAATATACCCTTTATCTCATATTTTTGGGGTGACTTTTGCAGGGTTTCAGGGTTAAAGCTGCAGTTCGAACATCTCAAACACTGGTTCATTGATTGTGAGGGAAGGCAGACTCAGAAACTGCCTTTTGCCAAGCTGGGTTTTCTGTGTTCTAATCTTATTGCTCTATCAGGAAATTTCTTAACACAATTAAAGTTACTTCTGAGGTCATTAACACAGAGGTGATTCAGAGCTTTTGTTAAAGCAGGCTGAAAGCAACTTCAGTGGATAATCCTTCACTATCTGGAGTTGTACTTAGACAACACAGTGACAGGCATCTTAGACACAATTTAGTGCAGTATGCAGAGATTCTCTTTGTCTCATAAAAAGCCAGTGGAATATTTCTGCTCTGAATGCCGAGGACTAATTACAGAAGCTGTCTTTAGTTCCTTCAGAGAAACCCCTATTGCATTTTGTGTATATATATATATCCACCCCTTTAGTAACCACAGAATAACTTTAGATTTATGTAAAGCACTTTCTGTCCGTGAGAAAATTGTGCTTTATAAGCTGTGTATCTGTGTGTGCGTGTGTGTGTGTAAATAAAGTATATCATGTAGCCACTATGAAGAGAAACGTGGCAGCTATTCTGTGTTGTTGACACTACTTGCAATAGGCGAGAAAGTGAAAAATAACTTGTCAAAGCAAAACTTACTGGGGTATCTGTACACCAGAGGTAACATGTTTACTCTTGGAAAAAAGTGCAGTAGCATCATCAGTGACCCCAACTGGGCTATTCAGTCTATCCGTTCAAACTGAACCGCATGACTCAGTTGTGGAGAAACTCAGATTTCTATTTTTTAAGTTTTTTTTACAAGATCTAGAGCCTTGTAAAAAATATTCAGTCTAATTTGTTTAGGCTTTGTATTTTTCAACTTCCCCAACATGCAACAGATGAGAAATTTTCTATATAAAATCATCGCCATGTATCTAATATAATCAACAGATTAATTTCTGTCTGATTACTGTTAATTGAGTGGTTTATATGAAACAAGTTTTTTTTTGTGGAGTTTTTTTTCTCCTAATAGACAGGTGAATACATCATAGATGTATCCATTTTCAGAAGATGAGCCAAAGATTGAATGGAAATGGAAATTTGGAATACTCTTATCCATGGAGGTTACTTTTCCAGATCTTTATTGAGGCACACTGGTAGGGCAATGTGATGGTATTTTGCAGAGTCTTTGCACATTCTGTGACTCTTCTGTTAGTAATAGACGATTTCCATCTTTGGAATTGTCAGTATGCTAGCTTTCACTATCACTAAAATTCTCTTTAAAAATAATAAAAATTTATATCTCCCATTGTGATGAGCTTTCATCCATTTTTATACCAAAAAGATTTGATTTCATGAAAGTGTCTCTCTAGGTTTACAGTAATAGTCTGAGCAAAAGGGGGATATTGTGCTGTCTTTCATCTAATGGAGTTCAGTGTAATCCAGCAAGCAAAGGTTGACAAGGCATGGGGAAATTAACACCACAGAGAAGACTAATTGCCTTTGGACAAAACTTGCATGCTATTTTGATAAAGCATGGTTTCTATATCTATATAGACAGGTGATGGGGGCATACAATTGTAAGCCTTAAATACACTATAACCAGGCTGATCTCCAGAAACCATCACTTATTGCCAAAGATATCATTCATTATCTCCCAGCTGTTAATCTCTCTTTATAAAGTAATTGAGATGGTGATGGCAGGTCAACTCCAGTAATATCCTTTTTCAATATTTTAGACTCTTTCCCATTCTTTTACAGACCTGGAAGCAATACAAAGGCTTCATTTATAGCTCTGAAAAATTTTCTTTAGGACAACGGATAGAGATCAAACATCCATCCATCCTCATACTGGTGTATAAATCGGGGACCTTCAGTATCATCAAACATACTCATAGACTTTAAAGTCAGAAGGGACCATCTTGTCTGACCTGCAATTTCAGGTCACAGAACCTCATCCACCCACTCCTGTAATAGACCCCAGTCTCTGGTTGAGTTACTGAAGACTCAAAACGTGGTTTAAAGACTTCAAGTTACAAAGAATCCACCATTTACACTAGTTTAAACCTGCAAGTGACCCAAGCCCCATGCTGCAGAGGAAGGGGGAAAAAACCCAGAGTCTCTGCCAATCTAACCTGAGGGAAAATTCCTTCTCGACCCCAAATAGACCTTTCAGTTAGAACCTGAGCATATGGTCAAGAATCACGAGCCAGAAACCTGGGAAAGAATTCTCTGTAGTAACTCGGAGCCCTCCTCATCTAGTGTCCCATCACCGGCCGTTGGAGATAGTTGCTGCTAGCTGTTGCAGATTGGCTGCATGCCATTGTTACATGAAGTGCTATAGAACATGGCAGGAATGAAAAAAAGCATTTTAAGCTGTCTGTCCATTTTGCTCAGCTGTGTCAGAGTTGTGATGGACAGCTACCCTTCTGAGAGCCTGCACCTGCAGAGTCCCATGGGGCTCAGTCTTCTCATTTTACTATTAATATATATGTGAGCCTGCTGAAAGTAAATAAAAACTATAGAGTTCAGTGCCCTCAATATGCAGAGGAGGCTATCCAGATCTTTCACCTCACCGAACTTTTAGTGCTTTTTATTTGCTAACACAGCAAATGAGTGGGAACCTGGATGAAAAGTAGTGGCTCAAGCTCATTTTCAAGTAAAATGAAGGAGGAGTTAAATGGAAAGAGGAAGCACTTGGAAGAAATTGCTTAAATTGTGAGCTCTCCTATTGCTGAAGGTGCCTATCTTCAAGCAGGGTGGATTGATTTAAATTAGAGCAATTTAAAATCATCAATTTCAGTCATGATTTAAATCAGCAAGTGAGAAATCTTAATTTAAAGCATCACTTTTAATCTTGTTTTTCATTTGTACTCTTTAGTTACTTTCCTAGAGAGGTTGACTTCTGATTGGATCTGCAACCATTAAAACATATTGATTTTGCACTAGATTTGGTGCTTCTTTTTGCTAACCAGGAGGATATGCTATAGCTATACACACTTAAGCAATTATATAGCTTAATTTACATTTATTCAGATTCTTAATTTTTACATTGTTTATTATGTTAGAAGATCATTTATTTACTAGATTATTTTTTTACTTGTGATTTGTCAAACTCTTATTAGAAGAAAATTCAAATTCAATTAAAAATGCACAAAACTGGCTTTTTAAAAATTTGACTTTTATTAGCTAAATAAAACTCCCTTAAAAGTACTGGATGCATAAGAAAAAAAGTATGAGTTCATCAAAACCCAATTTGCATTTAAAACTAATTGGTTTATTAAACAAAGGACTTATTTTTTTGTAGTTAGGAAGTTGAACTGATTATTTCTGGTCATCATGTTAAGATTTTAGAACTAGTAGATCTCATTCTCTCACACCTAGTTTTTGATTCATAGGTTGGAAGAGGAAAACAAGCTTTTCTGCTTTTTCAACTGCCAGTTTAATTTTGTACGAATTAATCGTTGAACTGAACTGGTTGAATAAATTGAAATGAAGAAAATAGTCTCTCTGTTCCTGCAGAAGAGGGTTCTGCTAGCAAAAGCTGGCTTAGTGCTTCAACTAACTAGTTCTAGGTGCTT